ATTAACGGATAATTTGCCCAGCCCTATCCAATGTTAAATTAATGGATCGTCTTTTACATACAATTTGTACAGGTTTGATGGGTAATGATCCGTATGGATGATAATATTCTTTTCCCGTATCTTTATGTATGTTGTCCATCATCTATGGCATGATGGGTGTGAATATGACATTTTATTTTCCCCAAAAATTATATCATAAATAATATTGTTAAAGCATTAATTTTTTATTTATTATCACCAGATAGGACAGTTAATGAAAAAAACAATCAAAATCTTCTAATATTAAACCATGCAGATCATAACCAAATTAAAGCTTCAAGTTTGGAGTAAAGTAGAGAAAATCTCATTCGCAAATTCTTAGTACCCATAAAAGATACCATCTCACAATCTTAGAAATAAATCCAATCTAATTCGGTGAACAATCAAATAAGAGTATCTATATATATTTGATATTTCCTCCAAAAGATTGATCGCCTACTTTTTTTTTCTAGGCTTAAGCCTTGTTCTATGTAAATTTTAAGATATTTTTTGTGGAAAACAATTTTATTGATTTGAAAAAAATTAAAAAGATATTATCAGAATTTGCAAAATACAGTTATTACAGAAAAAAATATATACACCATATTTTGAGTACTATACAACAAAAGAAATAACAAAGAAATAAAGTTAATGATGTCTTAAGATATCACCGTATGGTTTCTAATTTAAACTTTTGAACATCTTATAATTAGTGAAAAGTCATAAAACCAAAAAATCTAAAGAAAATTCAATTTCTCTAATTCTTGATTTTTCCGGAATAAGAGTAAATCGATGATACCATAAAGTATCTAGTGCCTATGGAATCTTCGAAAAGACAGCATGATTTACCGTACCTTCTTCACATTCACTTCTAGAACATCTAATATCACAATTTACTTGCATACTTTTTTTGTATTATTTAACTATGAATAGAATTAGATACAAAATTTGTTAAATGGGAAAGTCTAAAACGGTTGACCCGCCCAGACTCTCAATCCGCTCCGTATGCAAGCGCCAATTCACAGCATAATATCTAA